TCCTCTCTCTAAATACGCTGGGTGGCCCAAAGTCAAATTCCCTAATCGTGGCAGTAACTCCACTCCTCAGTCCCCAGGGAGCCCTTCAGGCATGAGCCTTAATGCGATGCTAAACCTGAGAGAGAGTCAGTGAAATCTCATCCAGGCCTGTGCGTGGTAGGTTGGGGGTAGGCGCCTTCTCTTGCTGTCTCCGGGCTCCCCTTCATCTCCTTTCCTTTGACCTGTTGCAGAATGATGAAGGTTCAACCCATGAAAAACTAGATTTCAAATTGCACTTCAGTTGCGCTTCATACTTGATCACAACGCCTTGCTATAGGTAAGTGCCACCTGAGGGGGCTCCAACATCCCCTCTGCACCTCGTGGCATTGGGGCCTTTGCCACCCACATGAAGCTTTGGCTGTGGGCCGGCTTTGCAAGAAGTGCAGCATGTTCTTGACTTTCCCAGCCAGTGGTTGCTTCTGTTCGTACTTTGTTCTGGGGAAAATGTACCCTACTCCTTACTTAAAACATATGTCCTCCCACCCCCCATTATCCCGACACCACAACGTGTATCGTGGTGGGCTAGCAAAGTAGGTTGCTGAGTAAGCCTTGCATTTTTCTCTTTCTCCCTGTTTCAGAGATCAGTCTGTCTCAGGGTATCCCTATGGAGGGTATATCCCTATTCCACTCCTAAACCTGAGTCTCCTGCTAGATCTTAATTGTATATGAGCTGCCTCACTATTAGACTTACTAAAGCCTGCATGGTGCTGTCATGAAAGAGTTTAGTATGGGCGTGTAGCCTAAGTGCATACCATGATCTCTCCTCCATGTTTTTGCAGTGATGCTTTTGCCAAGCTGCTGGAGTCTGGGGATCTGCATATGAGTTCTATAAAAGTAGATGGAATCAGCATTTCTTTCCAACATCTACTAGCAAAGATTTGTTTTTATCATCATTTTTCAGGTGAGTTCCTAACACAGAATCTGCTTCAAGGTTTCTTGTTCCGAAATTACTACTTAAGGGACTAGCTTGGCCTAGGGAAGGTAGATGCTGTTTGGCTCTAGATCATTGATTCAAATTCAGTCCAGCTGAAACCAGTTTGGAGGAAGGCATCTTGGCCCTGTTTTAGTAGACAGGTGTCCCTGTCCGGAAGGAACTAATTAAAGCCTGAACAATTCAATTGGATCCATATCGTTTGTCCAGTTCAGTGAGGCACATTGGGAGCCAGTGCTGCTGGCTCTGTGGAGAGAATATCTCAGCCTCCAGTGCTGTCAATCTGATCTTTCACCAGCACTAAAACTAATTGGAATGGGAAGAATTTAGCTTTATATATTGGAGTAATTGCAAATTCTAAATGACTAAACTAAAGTGGAATGTCTTCACCACATCCTGGGGCCCAGCAATTCTTCACCAAAGCTGCTTGGCTTTAAAATGGCCAGCATTGGTTAGGCTAAATTTACAGCTTTTGGATAAATCTGCTCTTTGCTGCAGGAAGGTCAGTTTTGTGAAGTCACATCATCATTAAACTTAATATACCAAAATAACCCAAACATTTGAAAAAGCGAATAGACGGTTAAGGCATCCAACCACCGTAACTCCTGGGGCAGGTCGCTGTCAGCAGGATGGCCCCAGACAGCGGCTGTATTTACTCTAGGAGAAGGTAGAAAAGGCTGTTAAATAAAAATGGCTGCTTTCTTCTGTAGTTGTGGAACGAGTTGACTCTTGTGCATCAATGTACAGTCGTTCTATCCAAGGCCATCATGTCTGCCTACTGGTAAAAAAGGTGAGTGCCCCATAGGGCTCTGCAATGGTGCAGTCAGGTGGAAACTAGCTTATCTGGGAGCCTTTTTACTGGTTTAAGGCAAAGGTGGAAATATTCCCAGTTCATAAAAATCTTAAGAGGGTGGGATTCAGGGTGGCTTCATTCAGCCAGCCCAACTGCTTGGGAGGGATCCTGGTGAGCCCCTTGTGCCCTGTACTGCCTGGGCTGACATGGATAAACCTCTGTCCTGTGTCTGAATGAACAGGGGCCAGTACCGTTGTGCAGAGCACATCCTCTCACCAGAGGTGAATTAAGGTTTCCTGGGGCCCTGGGCCAGAGCAAGTTGGGGGGCCCCCTGCCCCCATTCCACCCCTTTCCACCCAGGGTGCCCCCTCATTCTGCAGCCCCGCAACCCCTTTTACTTCCCTCCCCCCAAAGACCAGAGTAGCTCAGACTCTGACCATGTCCCCGGGATGCAGCAGGGAGTGAGAGCTCCTCCAGTCCCAGGGCCGCTGTGGGGGTCCAGGTGATGGTACTCCTTCTCCCCTCCCCCCCTGCACTTCTGCGGGGTGTCAGGGTGCTGGGGCTTCTGCCTGCCCTGCAGCTTCTGCTGGGGATTGGTTGTGGGGGGGGGTGGGGGCTTCCGATGGGGTCTGGGGGCACTAGAGATTCCCCTGCCTGGTGCTGCTGCCGCAGAGCAGGGTCAGGGCACGGGGGCTTCCCCCAGCGGCCAGGGCACCCCAGTTGGCCAGGGCCTCTGGTCACAGGTCCCGATCGGCTCAGTGGCTAATCCGCCACTGCCTATCACCCTCCCAAAGAACAGACCTAGGGCCTGCCTTGGCTCCCACTGACTCCACTGGGAGTAGAATTGTGCCCTTAGCCCCTTCTTTAGTAACTAACTGGCTCTTTTTTTAAAGGGAGAGAATTCAGTATCTGTTGACGGAAAATGTAATGATTCCACCCTGCTGAGCAACTTGCTGGATGAGATGAAAGAGACATTATCAAAGTGCTGAATAGTCTTTATAAATATTGCAACTACAAGAGATGCACTTAAAGAAGTGTAAGACAGATTCAAGTGTTACGTTTCTCCCTCGTACGCATGTACTATCTCGGGGCACGTGCTTTTCAGTTAACTCCACCATCGTTTGCAGTTTAGACATTTTAAGGCTGTATGTTACCTTTTTTATTTGGAATCTTTTTACCAACTGTGGTGTTAACCCTTTCCAGCCCAGTGAGATCCTGACATGTTTGGGGGGTTATTTATTCAGCAGTTCCCGGCAATCCAATACACCCTGCCTCCCATATGGAGCAGAATGTTAGCAGCAGCACTTGTTAACGTAGGAGGTTGCCTTGGCCCTTGTCTGTGGAATATGTCTGCTTTAGTAGGTGTATGTTTTTAGCAGAGGCTGGTGTTGGACCTGAAGGCAGGTACCTCCTACTCTAAAGCTCACTTGGTCCTGAATATCAACATCCTTGGTATCATAAGAGCTAATCAGTATGCACCCAGTAAGAGTTTGGGACACTCCTGGGTTTCTGCTTATGGTAGCTGCCTTGGGCCTTACCTTCTGTTAACAATAGCTAAAACATGGGCTGAAAAGTGTTGACTCCTTAGTCCTCTCTGCTCCTGTTCATCCCCAGAAAAAGGTCTATTAAACATCTCCCCATGAGTGATCTCTGATGTGCTTTGTAAAGTCCACTGAAATTTCACATTCCTGAAGTTAGAATGTAGCAAAGAAACTGGAAATCCAAAGGTTTTTTGTTCCTGTTTTTTATTTTGTTTATAATGTGGCTTACCAGATGAGGTTGACCAGTAGCAGGTTGGAGAAATAGCCACCTAAAATACCTCCTGCTCCAAAACGTTTGTCCCCGTGTTAGCAATGTTGAGATGTGACAATGTGTGTGTTTGGTCCCTGGAACATTGTGCTGGCCCTGATTTCATGAAGATGGATTCGGACGTAGCCGGGTGCCAGCAGCCAAGGTATAATTGGGGCCGTCTAAACTGTACCTGCCTAGATGCAGGAGGGAAGAGCCGGCGTGGATGGAGAACACTATACACTTGTGTTTGTGGTACGAGTTACTACGAGGGACTGACAAAATGACTCCATTCTGTGCTGTTGAGAGTTCACCTGGAATCATTGACTGGAAAGGGAGTTTTCTGTCACTGAAGTACAAATGAGGACTGTACTCTTAACTGGCATCACTTTCCAGAATCTCTCGTTTTTAAATTCTTTGTGCTGTTCTATTTCCAGCAGACTTGGAATGTACTAAACGGTTATTACTTTGAGATGTGGGTAAAGAACTGTCAATTCCTATTACCAAAAGGGCCCCTGTGGAGGAGATAGACATGGACAATATCTGCACTTAATTTTTTTGGCAACTCCCCCATCCAACAGATGTCAGTATTGCACAGTAGACTTCTGATTAAAAACCCTACAGATTGGGGACAAAGGGCGAGATCAGAACTTTATCCTGATCTTACCTTTTGTTAGACACATTGTGCCTCTTTACACTCTTCCCATGTTAGGGTGTTGTCGGGCTCTGCTGTGGTTTTATTGCTAGGACCAGCATCGTATGCTGTCTGATTGCACTTGTGTATTGCCGGAATCCTTTTGCAGCAGGCTTCTGTGCTGGTGAAGTGGTAGTGTTTGGTAATGACGATCAACCTCCCTTGGTTAGCCAGTTTGTGTATTAGAAACTGAACATATTAAAATCGTCTTAAAGGATAATGTTCCTTAATTAGGTGGGGGGGGGGGTAAAAATTCATGGATGAAGACTGTCACTTTAGCATGTAGTCTTCTCTTAAAGAATCCTGCGCAGTGATTCTAGACCTTTGAAACTGTATGATGTGTTATATTAAAGAATTTATTTGCTATCAACATTCCCTTATGAAGAAAGACCACAAGCTGCTGTAACAATTTTGTGTCAAGATGATCTAATAAAATTTCAAAACAAAAGTTAACTTTGATTTTTATAATCCCTTTCTGTTCTTACAGCCTTTTATTAAGAGTGGTAGATGAGGTTTTTATAAACCATTTTCAAGAGATCGTTTTACCTGTCTCTGAAATTGCAGCCAGTTCTGGGGTGGAATACAGCAGCTCATTAATGCAACTGAAGTGGCAGGGAAGCTTTATGCAGGCATTTGGGTAAAAAATGATTTCCTGCTGTCCAGTGGCTTGATGCATTTTGATTAAATAAGCCAACCACTCTGTGTTGAGTGTAAAACATGATGATGTATAGAAGTGTAACATAGCACTCCACTGATAGTTTCTAATGTTTAATTTCCCTTAGAGCTAATACATTCTAAGTAGATATTCATTTAAAAAAACACAGCTCAGCAGTCTATCACTCTGGTGGGGGGGATTCTGTATTTGTGCCATCCAGGAGTCCTCTTGTTCACAAGTGTGTTGTGCCAAGTCTTAGACATGCTGGCATTTATCCCTTGGAGGTAGAAGAAACCAAACAAATCCATCAGTGCTTGGACTGGTCTGAAAATCACAGCTAGGTCCATGTGATGAATGCTGCTAGTGCAATCTCTGAGTACCCAGGAAAGGAGGTGGCAGGAGAGGAAACATCATTTTGAAGCAAACGGCTGCAATCAGCTATCTGCAATGAAACTCAAGCTGGGAGAAAGATGGCCTGTTTACAGATGCTCCAGCTGGGAGCAAGGGAAAGCTGCACTCAAATGGCTGGAGCCTTCATAACCACAGTGCAGAAAGGCTTGTATATCTTTACTGTGGCTTCAGTTTTGAGGGCAAAGGAAACAGAACTCTGTTCCAACATGCCATAGGGCAGCAGGGAAGGGTTTGATCTAGTCTCAACTCACGAAAAACCACCATATAATAAAGGAGCCACAATTAACAGGTGAGGTGCATTGGCAGAGCTTGGGGGGGCGGGAGGGGTGTGGTGGCAGCATGGAGCAGGCCTGCCTTGGCATCAGTCCCATGGTTAGAGGAACGCTGTTGCCCCCTCTTGTGCATTTGCAACCAAGGGCAAATGGAAACAGCATGTTGAAGCAGAACACGAGTGTAGCTGGTGTGGGATTATGGCTTCTGCTAACTGCTCTGCATTTTAAATCCAGCTTCTGCCTTTCAGGCTTGGAAATCTGCTGGCTCCAGTTCCACGTACTGGATAGTTTTAATTCGCTTTTCCCTTAGGAAATACCCTCTTTGTGGCCTCTCTTCTACTCATTTTTATACTTCAACTCCTGCTAAGGCCTCTCAAACAATGGCAAAACACATACAAACCACTACCTTCCAGGAGGCTGAACAAGGGACCCCAGTCGTCATCCTTGTCCCCCAAACATCTGCAAACTGCATCTTCCACTGCTCTGTGCAGGCCAATAACCTGCAGCAGTAGTGTGCTTCCCGTGGTGTCTACGCTAGCGGTTCTGCTAAACATGTATCACCAGGCCACCCCCATCTAGGGCCGACAGAACCAGGACTGCGCCATCTCATCTATCCCTGGTCAGATAGATCCACCATGGTTAGAACGCTGGCAGCCACCAGCTCCTGTCTTTAGCGGTGCTGCTTCTGGCCAGGGAGAGCTGGAGGAAAAAGCCAACCGTAGCCACAGCCCCAGAGCAGACCCGCCCTTTAAAGCTGTAAGAAATCCTCTGTTTGCAAACTTACTTTTAAAGTTTAGCATTGCTGGGCTGTAGGGAAGGGAGAATAAAACATTCAAGATTAATCATTTTCTAGTAAACAAAATACTGCAGGAGGTGAAAGGGGTGCGCTCTCTGTGGAAGGAAATACACTAAACACAGTCCCTATTAAAAGCAACAAGTATCCAATTTGTGAAGATTGTTTTCTACCTCCTTAAATCTAGGGGCTACAGTGAAGGGGGACGAGGAAGAAGCAGGGAGGAAAATCTGAAATAATTCAGTGGGGTTGTGTATAGTTCTCTGGCTTTTCTGATTTATGAGGAGAGGTTGAGGGAACTGGGATTGTTTAGTCTGCGGAAGAGAAGAATGAGGGGGGATTTGATAGCTGCTTTCAACTACCTGAAAGGGGGTTCCAAAGAGGATGCAGCTCAGCTGTTCTCAGTGGTGGCAAATGACAGAACAAGGAGTAATGGTCTCAAGTTGCAGCAGGGGAGGTCTAGGTTGGATATTAGGAAAAACTATTTCACTAAGAGGGTGGTGAAGCACTGGAATGGGTTCCCTAGGGAGGTGGTGGAATCTCCACCCTTAAGAGACTTTTGAGGTCAGGCTTGACAAAGCCCTGGCTGGGATGATTTAGTTGGGGATTGGTCCTGCTTTGAGCAGGGGGTTGGACTAGATGACCTCCTGAGGTCCCTTCCAACCCTGATATTCTATGATTCACCATGCCACCCCCATACTAAAGTAGGCTGGCCTGTTCTCAGTTATTAAAAGTTGCACAAAACTGTACCCCCGCTGCTTCCAAGAATGGTTGCAATGTGCTTCATAGGACAGGAGCAAGGTGGGAAGGAAATAATATTAATCTAGGTCTTATATATCCCCATCCCCTAGAAAGGATTCCCCTCAACACTGAGGCTCTTTTGCTGAAAGAGCAGGAAGCTTTATGGGAAGCTTTGGGAAGTTTATGCCCAATAACAATTCCCCTTCCTGGTGCCTACTTACCTGGTGGATGTGCAATTGCTGAAAGACAAAGATGCTTATTAGAGAGCTGGGTGGTAGCTGAGCCCTGCTGTCAAAACCCAACCCCTGCCCCCCAATCCTCTGAGCCAGAAAGCTAGCTTGCTTTCGCCGGAATAGGATGGAGGCTAGTTGTCCTGGGATTACAGATCAGTATGGTGGAGCCCCGTCATGCTGTATGGTGAGAGACAGTCCCTGTCCTGAAGAGTTTACAGTCTAAATGGACCCTGGGTGGAAGGGGGAACAGTCCCAGAGAGAAGTCACTTGCCCCAGCTGTCTCAGTAGCTCACTGGCAGAGCTGGGAATCCCAGCCAGTGTCCTACCCTCTTGAGCATGCTGCTTCTGCACTGACCAGCCGTATACAGCACTGTCATAATAGGAATTAAGAAGCGGAGTAGTCACTGCAGGATTGAAAGGCTTGGTTCTAATCCCACTTCCCAAAGCAAGGGGAGGTGAATTTCAAAGCCGCGCATGGGGAATGTAGCTGTGGCATGCCTAGTAGTGGGAGTAACAGCTGATTTCTCATCCATGGGCGTTAAAGGGCTGAGCCCAGGAGAAAAGAGCACTTAGCCGCTTGAAGGATCAGTCCTCCTCTTCTAAGGAACTGGGTGTATCTCAATGCTGGAGGAGCGCTCAGCAGCCAAGGCCTGGCACAGGCCTGGAGTGCTTCATGGGATGGGATTCTAACTGTAACTCTCCGGGGCAGCTGGCTCCCTAGGCTGTGTGAAAGGAATCTGTCCTTCAGGGAGGCCATTTGAAGGACTGGGTCCCTGACGCCCAAACAACTGGCGCAGAACAGACACTCACTGGAAGCCTGGGATCCTTCTCAAGGCAACTATCCACCTCGCTGATTGCCTGAGAAGAAAACATGAGATCAGAGGGCCTTCCGTTCAGGGGAAAGCATACAGAATTCATCACTGAGCCAGGCTGCAAGGGCACTACCAGGTCCCTCGTGAACAAGGGGTTAACTCCAGCTCAGCACCTCTCCCCCCATTGCCACAGGAAGGGCTGGAAGAGGGGTTGCTTAGGAGAAAGGGTGCACCTCCCATCCAGGCTCAGAGGGTTGAGCCCCCAAACTGGGGAGTTTCTCCTTCACTTGTGCTGAATCTGCCATCCTGTTCAAATCACACCAGCTGACACTGATCAATGCAGGTGGAGCCCTGCTACTACCCCCACGGGGCCTAAGGCCCTGCTCCTCAAAGTTGTTTAGGCCCCTGACTCCCACTGGGCCAGAGAGAAGTGATTCACCCAAGGAGAGAATTGAACCCAGGTCTTCAAAATCCTAGGCTAGTGCCCTGACCGCCAGGCTCGGCCCAGTTCAGCTTTCACTTGTCCTGGTGTAACTCAGTTGCAGTCAATGGAGTTACCCCGGATTTATAACGGTCAGTGAAAGGAGAATCTGACCCCAAGGTAGCAGCCCTTCTGCAGCACAGATGCCTTCAGTTTCCCATTAGATACCATCAGTCTAGGGATCAGAGAAAGGGCTGCAGCATTTCACATTTCCCTATTTCCCTCCAGGGAGTCACTAGAATGGAAAATATTAGAGGTAGATAGAAAATATCTGCTACTGGTCCTGGTCCTGGAGTCCTTCCAAGTGGTAAGGAAAAAATGTCTCACTTACTGGTCTATTTTGTTTCTGAAAAAGAAGAAACACAGTGAAATGGGAATGTCAGGGATCCCCTAGCTGTCGAATGGTGGGTTCTCGCCTCACCCTCGCTCTGGGACTCAACCTTATCGACGGGGTCTGAGTCAGCCCAGCGCGTGCCCGAGTGAGCACAGTGTGGAAGGGCTGGGCGGGATGCAGTACACAGACAACCCAATACTGCACTGATGGCTGCCAAGTCAGGCCTCCGTAGCAGCCAGTGGAGCAGAGCTCTGAACCTGGGCAAAGGTTTCCAGCAGCAAATGTTAAACTAACACTGTCATTCTCGTGCTCCAGAAGAGGAAACCCAGAGCCTTCCACGCCAGTGCAGCTATCGCTGCAGGGACAGAAGACACCGGCCCAGCACGTGCTGTGGGGCGGGCAGCTCCTGGGCAGGAAGCTCTGTGCTTTCCTAGGCATGGTGCTTTCAACATCTTTCCTCCCCTGCAAAAGTATCTGAACAGGGCTGCTGCCTCCCTGCTCCCATCTCAGAGCCACACAGGGTTTTAAGGTAATGACATCATTCCATTTAGGGGGCCATCATTTTCTCCCCCTGTCTGCAAGCCATCAGTGCATGGCTCTGCTTTCTTGGCGCGAGGGCAGGTAAGCAGCCAAAGCTGCATCGCTGCACTCCGTGCAGATGCTGCAAGCAGAAACCAGAACGGAATCCCCACCCCCTTCGACGCCCACCCTCTGTTAGATGAGGGTCAAAGTAGCTCTTAAATCTGGGTCCTCCCCCACCCCGGTGCATTTTCCCCCAAACTGCTGAACCCTGCTGGTTAGGGTTTTCATTCTCCACCACTGGCAATCTTTCAAGCAGGAGTGGATGTTTTTCTAAATGATCTGCTCAAGTTCAAACAGGTCCCATGCAAGTTAAGAGGGTTACTCATGTGAGTAAAGGTTGCGGGATCAGAGCCTTATATTGTATTTGGAAAGCTGATTAAAAACCCTGTGTAACGAACTAAAAACCTAAACCAACACAATCCATGAGGCCTTGTCTTCACTAGGAAGATGTGTTTTTAACCCCTTTCTCCTAGTGTAGACACGGCCTTAGTGACAGATCCTGGAAAGCCGAACACTGAGCTGACACTTACATGTAATCGAAAAGGCCTTTCAAGGCTGCTTCCCATTCTTCTGATGACCTGTTGAAGAAAGGGAAGGTTTGAACACACCTGTGGATAGGTAGATGGTTAGAGGGGTGAGGTAAGGACTTTTTGTAGGTTTCTCTTATAGTGGGGGAAGAGGAGCCACCTGGTTAATCAACAGCCCTGTTAATAATCTATTCTCTTTAAAGAAGACATATATTTCCTCCGCCCTCTCCTGGGGATAGCACAGCCACAGGGCAGCACGCTCTCTCTCACAAACACACACACACTCCATATAAAGACGTGCTCCCTACTCGCAGTTATAGCCAAAGCAAGCTGGTCTGGAGAAGTTACAAGTCAGGCAGGAGACAGCATCATATCTAAAGATTCCTGTAACATACAAGAGTGGGGAAGTCGCCTGTTAGCCATATCTGCAGTAACATTTGGTCGCTGCTGGAACAGCAGAGATTATATGTTGGGGGTGAAATCCCAGCCCCCGCCCCCGTGAAGCCCATGGGAGTTCTGCCTTTAACTTTAATGGGACTAGGACATCCCCCCCCCCGCTTACTCGGGTGGATTCACTGTCTTACTTTTGGGTCTAGATCAGGGGTCTCAAAACAGGGCCTGGAAGAGGTGTCTGGGGTCACACCCTCCCTGCCTTCCCCACATGGCTAACTGGAAGGGGGGGCTGCAAGGTGGAAAGAGCTGAGAACTACAGACCTAAACCATTAACAATGAACCCCACAAACCCCCCTGACTTACCACAGTGACGTTCACACTCCAGTCTGCCTAGGGAACGCAGGGAGAGTACATCAGGGTTAAAGAGACCTTGTTTCAACTGCTCGCCATTAACAACAGGCACTAAAGACACCATCAACTGTATTTATCTGGCCCTCCTCACGGCAGCACCTGAGTGCCTCATACTCTTTGCTATCTCCTTCCCGCCCCCACCCCCACCCCGTGTGGAGCAGTGCTACTATCCCTGTTGCACAGAAAGGAAACTGCGGCACGGAGGCTAAGTGACTTCTCCAAGGTCACAAAGCAAGTTTGTGGCAGAGCAGAGAATTGAACCTGGGTTTCCCAAGTCCCCAGTTCGTGCCCTAACCACTGGGCAATGCTTCCTCCGTGCTCGCTGGTGTGAAAAGCAGGACCTGCTACTCTGCCCATGATCTTATTTATCCCCTTCCCTCAAGCACTGTAACGCCCTCACTTCTCGTGGTGTCAGGCAGGCAACTGAAAGTGCAGCTCTGCTTCCCCTTAGCCCTACCGCAAAGCTGGAGACCATCCCCGGCCTACTCAGAAATCTCTCCCCCGCGGTCCAGGATGAGACCTCTCTTCTAGGCCCCATGATCTTCTGTGGACTTGCTGAGTCCCGTCCTGCCCTGACGGCTCCTCCGTCCCCAGCCCACTCAGCGATTCACAGATACAATGTGCCATCCTGCCCCTTCCCCACCGCGCTCCAGGAGCTCTTGCTCTGAAATTGCCCTCACTGTCTGATAAAACCTTCCCACCGGGCCCTTGCCCTGACAGCCTCATGTCAACACTCCTTTGACCCCAGCCTCCTCCCTTCACAACACTCGTGAACCCTACAGTTTCCCCGTGTTCAACTTTGCCCTTTGCCCTTTTTTCTACTCCCTCTTTACCGCAGCTACAGGTGCTACCAAGAGAAACCAACGCTGAGGGCATGGCACGCACAGAGGAAAGGCTCACTTTCAATGATGGCTCTCTGTAGCGTCTGGATCTGGTTCTGGAAAATGGACTGCAAGAGCTGAGGGAGAACACCTTCAAGAGAGAGAGATGTAAGCTGTTTGGGGCAGGGACTGTTATTTACTAGGTGTGGATGGCACCTAATGCAGTAGGGTTCTGACCTGCTTAGCAGGTAAGTGCTACGACAACATACATGTTAAATCATACGTAGGGCCCTACCGAATTCACGGCCATGAAAAACGCATCACGGACCGCGAAATCCCATCCCAGGCCACCCTTACGTCTGCGCTGCTGCCCACAGAGCTGAGCGGCCGGAGAGTGGGGGCTGCTGACTGAGGGCCCAGCTCTGCAGGGAGCAGCGCAGAAGTCAGATCTGCCTTCAGAGCTGGGCTCCCGGTCTGCAGCCGCCGCTCTCCAGCCGCCCGGCTCCGAGGCAGCACCGCCAACAGCAGCAGCGCAGAAGTAAGGGTAGCAGAACCGCAGGCCCCCCCCCCCACCATAACCTTGTGACCTCTCCCCCCACAACTCCTTTTTGGGTCAGGACCCCAGCAATTACAACACCCTGAAATTTTAGATTTAAATAGCAGAAATCAAGACACTTACCATTTTTAAAATCCTCTGACCATGAAATTGACCAAAATGGATTGTGAATTTGGTAGGTCCCTAATCATGTTAGAGCTCCGGGACTCACATATTCCTGGCTATAATTCAGCTTTGTCCTGGATCAATATGGCTGACTCTAGCTCACTTTCTTTCCCTTTAGTTATTCTGCCAGCTTTTTAGAGCTCATCAGAAAGCGCCTCTAGACTACAAGGGAGCACTCAGCTCACTCTCGGGCCATCATTTAAACAGGTTTGTAACATCTGTAACTCCCGACATGCACGTCACCACCGGGACATGAAAAATATTACTGAGTCAAAGTGGGCCTAAGAAATTTGGATTCTCTCCCCAAAAGTGCAGGCTTTAACTGGAATTCACAGCACTGCAGACTAGGTTTGCTTCTGTCAGATCCTATGGGGAAAAATATTCTACACTTACTTTGTATAGTAAATTAGCACCCGATTCTGCAAACATTCATGCATATGCTTAACTTTATGCCTGTGAGTATTCCCATTGACTTCAGGGAGATTATAGAAGTTGAGTGCATACATGGTGGCAGAATCAGGGCCTCATTCCCCTCATGGCTTTTAGCCATCCATCCAGATCCTAAGCAAAGTACCTCGCATTTCTGCTATGCTTTTATCCTTGGCCACTGAAAGAAAGCTGTGTCTTTCTCAGGACGCTTACAAAGCTAGTGAAATAATGACAACGTTGGCAGAACTTCACTTTGTTTTGTTTCAATTAATCTGTCACTTTTAGCGATCCTGTTAGGTGAAAGTACAAAAGTGACCAATATTGTCTTATTGTTTCCTTACTCTTCTCCATCTGTCTGCCTGTCAGCTCTTAGGGGCAGGGCTGTCTTTTCAGTCTGTGTTTGTGCAGCGTCGAGCACGCTGGGCCCAGGTCCGTGAGTGTGGTGTCTATGCGCTACCATACTACAATAATAATAAAAATAGAACTTTACTGCAGGCTAATATATAATTTACGGTAAATTACAATAATAATTTATTACATCTCCAGTAATCCCAGTATGGCAAATATTTCTGCATTGCCTTGGATCTGTATTAAAGGTGACCTGCACAAACTGGATTTGTTGCTCTTTATGATGAATCTTTTAAACCTTAAAAGTTTTAAAAATAAAAAGGGGGGAATTCCTGCTTCCTTTTAACATTGGAAATGAATATTTTGTCATCTTGTTTTCCTAGAAGACCGTATAGATGTCTGGGGGACCAAGCTATGGTATCAGAAACAATACAGAAGTGAAACCTGATTAATTGAGGGCGGGAAGTGATTTTTATTCAGATGGTTTAAAACTCGTACTTTGTTGTTGCTAAAACCTATTTAAGGAATCTCTTGAGAAATAACTGTGAAAAGGTGCCTAAAAACTCCCACCTCGCATCATCAATACCTAGTCCCATGAGTCTTCTAGCAAAACCAGATGTAGGATTCCTGATCTTTCCAGGGTGAAAAAACAAACTTTTTTTTTAAAAAACACTCTTTGGCTGTCTTTGGACACCATCAATTAAAAAAATGGCATAAAACCATTTTTTTCATCCATTAAGCCTCACACTGAAATGATCCTCATTCAAGTTATAACACTCATGCTTATATTTGGTCAACAAAAAGGCACCCATGAAATTAAATACAGAACATGGCCCTCATCCCATGAGGTCTGTGGGAGTTTTGTATTCGACACCTTCCAAGATCAAGCCCCAACGTCTATTTTTTCCATTTTAATATATTTTCTCCCAATTCTTTTCCATCCAGCTGCTGATAGTCATCACCACTTCCTGACTTAACGGCAAGCCCTGCAATGGAGACCCATTCCACTTCTTCACTAGGCAACAGACATCCCACATCACCAACCCTTCTGGCCGACGCATCCCCCTTTTTGCAAAGTCAACTAACTTACCTGGTTGGTACGTTTTCCCACTCAACATGATGTCAAGTTTTTCGTACACTTTGGCTGCAATTTCATGCAGCTTATCCAGAGCTGGGAATGTAGAAGAGAGAAAAGGAATGCCTTGAGGTCACTAGAAATATTGAGCACTTTGGCACGATCCATGAAATTTCTGTTCAAAGTGACCGTGGTGCAGGCTACAGAATCTAGAAACATTGTTTAAAAGTTCTCCATCTGAAACCCATTTAAATGCTGCATTTGGGGCTTATGTGATTTGAACAGCCTTGTGTGAGTTCTCTGTACTGGAATCAGTTTCACTTTGAAACTACAGCAAGTTGGTTTTCAGACAAACCCTTCACTTTTCCAGCACTGTCAATCCCAAGCGTTCAAAAAATCTGGAGTGAGGCACCTAAGAATCATGAGATTTTTTTTAAAATAATACATTTGCGGTTTTTTTATTTGCCTTATTTTGTGAGCCTTTAGGGTACCCCGGAACACATTTATACAACCACAAGGGCTAGGAACATACTTTTAAAAAACCACCAAAAGTGAAAGCAGAGATTCTCCCATATTCATACGACCCCAGGAACTGACGCTTTGAACAAGAACAGCAAATATCATGGCAGCTGGTAACACTGTTTTTATGAACACAGCATTGGCTGAATTAAAGATATCTAAGCCAGTCAGAATGCAAATGAAATGACAAACACAGAGACCATTACAGAAATAAAGACAAGTGATCAGGAATATTTTCATAGAATTACCACCTCTGACTTAGAAAATGTGGTTTTGCTTTGTATTTTTAACATGGCTCATTTTCACCTGGGAAATTATTTAGCAGCAGGAGGCCATTACCAGGCTGTGGCAACACGGTATTCTAACAATATCATCCTATTTTAATTAATTAAGATTCCGAAGAATAACCAACCTTTTCTGATTCCAAAGAAATGAAAATGACAGTGGAGCGGTCCCTGGGAAGTAACGTTAAAAGCTCAATTTAAAATAGAAATGCTCTGCATGCTACAATTCGTCAAGCTCAAAAGCATTTAACAGATTCCTAACTTTTAAGAACATAAGAATGGGCACACTGGGTCAGACCAAAGGTCCATCCAGCCCAGCATCCTGTCTACCGACAGCAGCCAGTGCCAGGTACCCCAGAGGGAGCAAACCTAACAGGTAGGCACGAACCTAGTAAACTAGTCTCTCTTTGCAGAGCCCGGTGAAATTTCCACATGTAACTATTCCTGTTGGATCTGTGTTAACGAAGGGCAGACACAATAAAAGGCTAAGGGGCAAGGTAAAACAAAAACAATCTTCTCTCTCAAGAGTTGTTCATCTGCTCCTTGAATTAACGTCCAAGGTACCAGTGGTTGGAATAGGAAAGACTGACACGCATGATGGCAAATGAACTGAATGGGACATGGGGAGGAAGGGAAGTGAGATTAAAATGAAACAAACATACACCAAAAAGTAGAACCGTAGGCCCTGATTGTCTTGTTCATTCTGTGCAGCAGAATATTACAGCCTCAAGAGTCATGGGCTCAGATCTCCAAAGGCAGTGGATATCGACCAGGGGTACACATACCCCTGGGGGTACACAGAGCTCTTCTAGGGGGTACATCAACTCATCTAGAGATTTGCCTAGTTTTACAACAGGCTACTAGCACGAGCCAAGCCAGCACAAACTAAAATTTCAGAGCAGTACAAAAAAGTCATTGTCTGCATGTGTACTATACTTTGGAATGTAAGGACAATATTTATATTCCAGTTGATTTATTTTATAATTATATGGCAAAAATGAGAACATCAGCAATTTCTCAGTAATAGCGTCCTGTGACACTTTTGTATTTTTATGTCTGATTTTGTAGGCAAGTAGTGTTTAAGTGAGGTGAAACTTGGGGGTACGCAAGACAAACGAGACTCCTGAAAGGGGTACAGTCGTCTGGAAAGGCTGAGAGTCACTGTTCAAAGGTATGTAGACTTCTAATTTCCATTACATCAATAGAAGCTAGGAACCTAAATACCTTTGAGGATCTGGGCTATGGAGCTTAAATTCCACAGTGCATAGATAGATTGGGAGTGTACCCTGCGTTTTCCTTATCATAGCTTCATGTGATGGCTACTCATCCTACCCTTCCACACACCTTGGAATAACATAGATTATCTCCAAATAGCATAATTTCCTGCTAGATCTCACTAGTCTGGAGTAAATTTTAAGGTCAGGATTTTTAAGTATTCCAGTCATATAGGAAGAGTTTTTGTCACTTTTCAATGAGATATTTAAAATTCCTCGGTTTGTTTCAGAATCTCCTTCATTTAAAGTCCCAACAGCAAAACTTCGGAAGTTCACATGCCGTGTAAAATGTTGACGTGGTTTTGCACAACCTCCATTGTCAGTTCAGTTTTGGGGTTTGTTTTTTTCTTTCTTCCTAAGGGACAGATACAGATCTTTTCCCACCCAGGATCTTTCAAAAGGGACTTTTTTAGGTAGTGTGGCCTATTGAGTAGATTGTGGTGCCAACCTACGGCCCACAGGCCGTGCATGGCCAACCAGAGCATTTCATAAGGCCCACAGCCTGCTTCAACACAATATAATGGCCAATTTATTAGCGTTTTGTCATAATTTAGTTTATACAAGTGTGTAAATAGACACAGAAACAATATATCTAAATAGATACGAAACAAGCTGAACGTAAAATATAAATCAATACAGATGACTTTAAATCTTATTAATATATGTAGAATCTGTTTGACCCACACAAGGTTGTGCTTAGGTTTATGTGGCCCTCCTGTGTAATAAGGTTGGGCACCATCTGGGGTAGACCATTGGACTGGGATTTAGGAGACCTGGGTTCAATTCCTGGGTCCCCCACTAGACTTTTTAGCAGTTGTATCACATTGTTGACTCTCATTCGATTTGTGATCCATTATAACCCCAGATCCTTTTCAGCAGTATTACCACCTAGGCAGTTATTCTCCATTTTGTAGTTGTGCGTTTGATTTTTCCTTCCTAAGTGTATTACTTCGCAATTGTCCTTACTGAATTTCATCTTGTTGAGTTCAGACCAATTCTCCGATTTGTCAGGCTTGTTTTGAATTCTAATCCTGCCTTCCAAAATTCTACGAACCCTCTCCTCTTGGTGTCAACCACAAATTTTAGAAGCATCTTCTCCACTCCATTATTCAAGTCATGAAAGAAAATACTGAAAAGTACTGGACCAAGGACACACTTATAGGACCCCACTAGATACGTCCTTCCAGTTTGATCACTACTCTTTGAGTATGGTCTTTTAACCAGTTATGCACCCACTTTATAGGAATTTTATCTAGACCACATTTCCCTTATGAAAATGTCACTAGGGGCTGTGTCAAAAGCCTTACTACAATCAAGATATTCTGAACCATGGAAGGATTATAGGATTATCCTCCCCAGTGTTGCCATCTGGCATGAGATTTTGTCTTTTTCTTAAAGCTCCAGCTTTTGGAGTCCTGGGATAGGAAGAGAGTCGCAGCTTTCTTCTTTTTGCTTCTCTTTTTTTTTTAAAAAGTAAGTCTCTAGCCTTTCTGGTTGGGGAGAAAATCTTGAAAACGTGACTCCCCTAACGGCAAATAAAAAGAACCTACCTAGCATTTATTATTCTTCAAAAAAAACCCTCAATTTTTATGCCAATCTCATACTTTTGGGGGTCTGAATTATAATTCTGGAACACATGGGGTTGGCAATACTGAGCCCCTATGCAGTCAGATGGGGCTGCTCACTGATGGGGGGAGGGCGGCTGAACAGTTGCCTATGGGAGATGTCCATAGGTTCTGTAACTAGGAGGGCTGGGGGTGAAGCTTGAAGTGGTTTCCATTATATACAGGGTTTACAGTTTGGTTCAATGACTTTCAGCACCCCCACTATTCAAATTGTTCCAGCACCTCTGGAAGTGTCTAGAGGGTCTCTTTCCTCTCTAGAGCATTGGTTTTCAAACTTTTTTTCTCGCAACCCAGTTGAAGAAAATTGTTGATGCCCGTGACCCAAAGGAGCTGGGGATGAGGGGGTTGGGGTGTGGGCGGGGCTCAGGGCTGGGGCAAAAGTTGGGGTGCAGGGGTGAGGGTTGTGGGGTGGGGACGGGAATGGGGGGTTCAGGGTGTGGGAGGGGGCTCTGGGCTGGGGGTGCAGGCTCGGGGGCTGGAGCCAGGGATGATGGGTTTGGGGTGCAGGAGGGGGCTCTGGGTTTGTAGGGACTCAGGGCTGGGGCAGAGGATTAGGGCATGGGGTTGGGGCTTACCTCAGGCGGCTCCCGGCCAGCGGCGCAGTGGGGGTGCAGAGGCACCGTGGACCGCGCTGTGCCCCGGAAGTGGCCAGCAGCAGGTTCAGCTCCAAGGCGGAAGGAGCACAAGCTGAGCTCCGCGCGGCTGTCACCCGCAGCTCCTGGCCAGTGGGCGCGCAGAGCCGGTGTTCGAGGCAGCGGGAGTGCGCAGAACCCTGTGGCCCCCCACCTAGGAGCCGGACCTGCTGCTGGCCGCTTCCAGGGCGCAGCGCGGTGTCGGAACAGGTAGGGACTAGCCTGCCTTAGCCAGGCAGCACCACCGATGGGATGTTACACGGCCCGGTTGGCAGTGCTGACCAGAGCCGCTGTGACCCGGTGCCTTACAGGATTGGGTCGCGGCCCGCAGTTTGAGAACCCCTGCTCTAGAGGATCTGAGAGGCACTTATTGATCTCAGTGCATAAAGCCAAGTGGCCACAGGGGGTTCCTATCTTGAGAGCCTAGGCATGGGGCCTTTCTCACTGAAGGCCTAGGAAGGAAGGATGGTGCCTGGACCCTTGCTTTCTCAGGGCGCCCGGAGGGCTCGCAAGGGCTCTCCCTTCTGGGGGGCTGTGCTTTGGGGTGTCACTCCTGGATCCCAGGGTGGCTGAGAGGAACCCCCTCTCTCTGGGACCTCAGAGGGTGGGCAGGTCGGGGAGGGCTCCCGGGGACACTCTCCTGGAATCGATCCGGGATTTCGGAGGAGGGGTGTCTGAGGGGACTGTGCCTGGGGGTGTCACTCGGCGCCGGCGGGGGGGGGGGGGGGGGTCCCGGGGTCGATGGGGGGAGGAGGCCGGCGGGGGGGGGTCCCGGGGTGGATGCGGGGAGGAGGCCGGCGGGGGGGGGGGGTCCCGGGGTGGATGCGGGGAGGAGGCCGGCGGGGGGGGGGGGGTCCCGGGGTCGATGCGGGGAGGAGGCCGGCGGGGGGGGGGGGTCCCGGGGTCGATGCGGGGAGGAGGCCGGCGGGGGGGGGGGGGTCCCGGGGTCGATGCGGGGAGGAGCTGGGGCGGCGGGGGGAGGGGTCCCGGGGTGGATGCGGGGAGGAGGCCGGCGGGGGGGGGGGGTCCCCGGGGTGGATGCGGGGAGGAGGCCGGCGGGGGGGGGTGTCCCGGGGTCGATGCGGGGAGGAGGCCGGCGGGGGGGGGGGTCCCGGGGTGGATGCGGGGAGGAGGCCGGCGGGGGGGGGTCCCGGGGTGGATGCGGGGAGGAGGCCGGCGGGGGGGGGCCCGGGGTCGATGCGGGGAGGAGCTGGGGCAGCGGGGGGGGGGTCCCGGGGTGGATGCGGGGAGGAGCTGGGGCAGCGGGGGGGGGGGTCCCGGGGTGGATGCGGGGAGGAGGCCGGCGGGGGGGGGCCCGGGGTGGATGCGGGGAGGAGCTGGGGCGGCGGGGGGGGGGTCCCGGGGTGGATGCGGGGAGGAGCTGGGGCGGCGCGGGGGAGGGGTCCAGGGTCACTCACGGATCTCGGCGGGGATGCTGAGGCGCAGCCCCCGCACCGTGTCCCCGGCCCAGCCCCGCAGCAGCCGCCCCGCGGCCGGCACGTCCCCGAGCCCCCAGGCCTTGCGGCTGAGGCGGGGCCGGTAGGAGGCGAAGCGGGCGGCGAAGGCGGGGTCGCAGTGCAGGCAGCCCCGGGCCGCGCCCAGCGCCAGCGCCGCCGCCAGCCACAGGCCGAGCAGCCGCCGGGCCGCCCCCATCGCCGCCCGGCCCGGCCCGGCCCGGCCGCGTTCCAGCCCCGCGGCGCGTCACAGAGAGCGGGGAACCCGCGGGGCCCGGGCGGGACGCTGGTGGGGGCAGGGGGTCGCCGGGGGGCTGGGGGGTGGTTTGGGGGCGGGGGGGTAAGCAGGAGGATGGGGGTGCCAGGGGGTTGTTTTGGGGGGTCAGGGGGGTGTAACTGGGGGGCTAGGGGTTACTTGGAGGAGAGGGGGTAACCAGGAGGATGGGGGTGCCAGGGAGTTGGTTTGGGGGGTCAGAGGGGGTAACTGGGGGGCTAGGGGTTACTTGGAGGAGAGGGGGTAACCAGGAGGATGGGGGTGCCAGGGGGTTGGTTTGGGGGGAGAGGGGGTAACCAAGGGGACAGGGGGTGGGGGGCTAGGGGGTACCAGGGGGTTGGTTTGGGGGAGTGGGGGGCTAGGGTGAGGTTTGGAAGAGAGGGGTTAACCAGGAGGATGGGGGTGCCAGGGGGTTGGTTTGGGGGGAGAGGGGGTAACCAAAGGGGCAGGAGGTGGTTTGGGGGTGAGGGTGGTAACTGGAGGGCTAGGGGTGGTTTGGGGGAAAGGGGGGCTAGGGGATACCAGCGGGTTGGTTTGGGGGGAGAGGGGGTAACCGGGGGGCTAGGGGTGGTTTGGGGGAGAGGGGGGTTAGGGGGTACCAGGGGGTTGATTTGGGGGGAGGGGTTAACTAAGGAGACAGGGTGGTTTGGGAGGAGAGTGAGTAACTGGGGGATAGGGAGTCCCTGGGGCGAATAGGCAGTGGCTGGGGGAGTTGGTTTGGTGGGGAGAGGGGTGGCTGAGGAGTTGGTTTAGGGCAGAAGGGGGAAGCTGAGGGCTGTTTGGGAGAGAGTCAGTGCATGGGGGTGGTTTGGGGGAGAGCTAGCAGCTGGAGGGGGTTGGTTTGGAGGGATGACAAGTAGGTTTACAGCGATAGGGGATAACCTGGGGGGATTGGTTGAGGGGAGAAGGGGTGCCTAGGAGTAACAATATCACCAGCCAACTCCAACCGTTTAAAAGTCACAAGCTGGGTGCCTGAAAATTGTGAGATGTCTAAAAAAAAATATTAGGGTCTTTATTTGCCTTCTGATTGTTTTAATGAGTCCTATTTTAAGCAGAGCTGAGATTCTCTTGCAATCACAGGACTCCAGGAGCTAGGGCTTTAAGGAAACCACCAAGTAGCACAAAACTCCTGATAAATGATGGAGAAAGAAATCCAGAGAGTTTTTAAAAAAAATATTTTCCTGCTTAGAAATATCAAGAGTGAAATCCTGACCCTGTTGAAGTTAGTGGGAGCTTTGCCATGGAAATGGGGACAGGAATTCACCCTAAGAATATAAAGTCTGGTGTTCATTGGTGACATTTATCTCGGCCGCAATGCCTCAAAAAAAAAATGACAGTGGCCAGGCATCAGCAATCTTGACTCTTATCAAGGTGGGATCCATATCTAAGTTATGGACATGCCAGCAGATAGCATTAGGTGATTGGTATTTGTTGCCTCTTTCTGGAGATTCATAAAACCACTGAAAGGCAGAGGAAGATGGAAAACCAAAGGCTGCTCTTGCATTTCTCTGTCCATTGGAAGCAGCAAACGTCTCCTTTTTACTGTGGGGCAGCCACCAGGCAGAGAGGACAAAATGTGAGGTTTACATTCTGAAAGACTGGATGGAAGAAAGAAGTGTAGTGGGTGCATCCCACCACCTGCAATTTACAATGCTGAGCTACAGCCCGCAAGACAGCCCTTAACTGAGGAAGATGGGGGTGAGCAGAACTGGACAAAGAGTTCTTTTCTCCCAGCAGTGTATGCAGCTTTTTGAGTTAAATCAGTCGTAAGCAAACAAAAGATAAAGGGTGAAATTCTGGCTCCAGTGAAGTCAATGGCAAAGCTCCTTTTGACTTCAGTAGGGCCAGGAGTTCACAAAAGAGTTTTAAACAGCCTGAATACATCATCTTAATTTTGGTTTAATTGCACAGCATCTCTTATGTCATATGTTCTTTGGTCTTCTGTAGAGCTTATCAGGAAAAGTGGAGGAGACAAGATCTGGATTTCTAGTGAAAGAAACAAGCAGAAAAAAACCCCATGGTTTTTGGTACAGGGGGAATTTTTTTTCAGTCCTTTTTGACATGTCATAAAGCAACCCCAAGGGGCACAAACCCAGATTGTTGTTGGGTTTTTTTTCATTTATAGGTCCACCTTCTCTGAGTCCAGATGCTGGAAACCTGTGCTATCTGGGTAGGAGAGGAGAAGAAACTCCATCGCTTATGCGCCCTGCACAAGTTTTCTGTCTTTATTGGCATGAGTTGTTCAAGCTTAGATCCTGAACAATCTCTGGAACTGAGAAGTAAGTCCCCATAGTTCCCATGAAGATTTCACCCTTATTAATGATTCCTTATAATTATTTACTAATGGTATTTCAGTTGTGCCTGGAGACCCTGAGGGTATGTCTACACTGGCAGAGTTACAACGCCGGAAGTTACATCGCCGCTCAGAGAGCGCTGAAGGGAAACCTCTGTTGTGTGTTCACACTGTCAGCTGCCTGCACAGTAGCGTGTTCACACTTGCAGCATTTGCAGCGCTATTCAGAGTGGTGTGCTCTGGGCGGCTATGCCACAGAGCATCTCTTCCTATTCTGCCTCTAAGAGTTGTGAGAAGGCAGAGGGGATCGTGGAGCATCCTGGCTCCTGTCCGAATGCCCCGTGATGCATTGCTTCGCATCCCAGCAATCTCTGTGCTTCCGTCTGCATTTGGCGCCATCTTTCAATGGTTTGTGCACTGCGTGCTCTGTCTCTTTGGTCTGCAGGAATGGATCCCGCAATGTTGACCAATATGCTGCTCACTCTCACTAACACATCAGGAGTAGCAGTGGAGTTATTCCTTAAGCTACAAAGGCAAGAGGAGTTCGACATCTCACCACGTGTAGTAGCTATGACACAAGATTGCTTGTGGCATTCACGGGCATGCTCACCACTGTGGAACGCTGCTTTTGTGCTTGGGAAACAAGCACTGAGTGGTGGGATCACCTCATCATGCACATCTGGGATGACCAGCAGTGGCTGCAGAACTTTCAGATGAGGAAAGCCACTTTCATGGGACTAAAAAGAAAAGGAGGACTTGTGGCACCTTAGAGACTAACAAATTTATTTGAGCATAAGCTTTTGTGAGCTACAGCACACTTCATCTTCCTTTCCAAATGCAAACAGATGGACATCATATCAAAAGGACTGAAGGTAAAAAATCCATTACAATCTACATACCACACAGACTGTGCTGACAGCTTGTGCCACACGCTCTCAAAGAAACTGCGGAATCACCTGATCAACATCCTCTACAGCAAACAGGGAAAGATTAAGAATGAGCTCTCAAAACAAAAGGAATGCATCCGATGAAGTGAGCTGTAGCTCACGAAAGCTTATGCTCAAATAAATTTGTTAGTCTCTAAGGTGCCACAAGTACTCCTTTTTGCGAATACAGACTAACATGGCTACTACTCTGAAACCTTTCATGGGACTGTGCGATGAGCTCACCCCAGCCCTGCAACGCAAGGACACGAGAATGAGAGCTGCCCTGTTGTTGGAGAAGCACATGGCGATTGCACTGTGGAAGCTGGATACTCCAGACTGCTACCGATTGGTTGCTAACCAGTTCAGAGTAGGAAAGTTGACCGTTGGACTCGTGTTGACAGAAGTGTGCAGGGCCATTAATCACATCCTGCTCCGAAAGACGGTGATTCTGGGCAACGTGCGTGACATTGTGGCTGGCTTTTCACAAATGGGCTTCCCTAACTGCGGAGGGGCGATAGATGGCATGCATATTCCAATTCTGGCACCAGATCATCTAGCCACCGAGTACATTAATGAGAAGGGGTATTTCTCTGTGGTTCTCCAGGTGCTTGTGGATCACTGTGGTCGTTTCACAGACATTAACGCAGGCTGGTCCGGAAAGCCACATGACGAACTCATCTTTCATAACACTGGGCTGTTCAGGAAGCTGCAAGCAGGAACTTTCCTCCCGGACTAGAAGATCACCATAGCGGAAGTTGAAATGCCCATTGTGATCCTGAGGGACCCTGCCTACCCCTTAATGCCGTGGCTTATGAAGCCATACGCTGGGCACCTTGACAGCAGCAAGGAGCGGTTCAACAACAGGCTGAGCAAGGGCAGAATGATGGTTGAGTGTGCTTTTGGCTGTTTAAAGGCCCGCTGGAGCTGCCTATATGGGAGGCTGGACCTGGCCGATGACAATATTCCTATGCTTATAGCCACGTGCTGTACACTCCATAATATTTGTGAAGGGAAGAGTGAAAGCTTCACTCAGGGCTGGACCGCTGAAGCTTAGCACCTAGAGGCTGAATTTGAACAGCCAGAGACCAGGGCTATTAGAGGGGTGCAGTGTGGGGCCATGAGGATCAGGGATGCCTTGAGGCAGCAATTTGAAGCTCTGTTGAACGACACTATTATATGTTGCTATACTTGGGAGTGCAGTGCTTGTAATGCCAGGAGGTGATTGTGATTGGTGCCGACAGTGCACTATGAAGATTTAAGAAAATTGCCTCTTGCTTTGCAGGGCTCTGTTTGCTTTCCGTTAATGGAATAAAGATTGCTTTCAAACCAAAACACTTATTTTATTAGAAAACAACAACCGGAGGAAAGCGACAAACAAAAAAACACATCAGCGCTTTGGGGGATGGGGGAAGGGAGGATCCCAGGAGGAGGTGGGGTCCCGGGCCAGTTAGAGATTTGTGTACCGGAGGGGAAAGGGAAATCAGTGTTCTGGGACCGTACTGTACACTGGGCACGTGGCTCTTGGGGAGAGCCAGCATGGTGGGGGGGGGCTTATAATCATTACTGTCCCCACATTTTCCACAGACTGTGTTCATTATGGAAGATATCTCGCTGCTGAGGGTGAGCAAGGAATCAAGGGAGGGTCTTCTCCAAGACTGCGGCTTCTGCCCTGGCCCTTATGCAGCTCACCTGTGTGCAGCAATGGTCCACCCCCACAGCGACGGCAGAGTGGTGTGGAAAAGTTACCCTTAATGGGGCAAGAAACAGAGCAGCTCTGCCAAAGAACCTGCGGCAGCGGATTGCCCAGTATCTCCATGAGAGTTTCGTGGAGATCTCTGAGGCAGATTCCCGTGAAGTGAGGGAGTCAATCAACACCCTGTTCCACTGCTTAGACTAGGCATATGGTGGTATGCGCATCATATAGACACAAGCCTGCTTTCTGCAACCCTCCTGCCCGCAACAACTCACTTCAGCGATTCCCAAAATCAAAGCCACTTACCAGAGGCCTCCTCTCCTGTTCGTGCTTCACCAAGCTCTGACAGTTGTGACTGGCTAGTCTCCTCTGGGGTAGAGAAGAGCTCCTGGCTTCATGCATCTCTGACCTCCGAGTTGTCCTCTGCCTCTGGGTCCTGCTCCACAGCCTTGTTCAAGTTTTTCTCCTCCTGGCTCGGTCCACTCTCAACTGGCATGCGAGCTCTCCATATGTTTTATGGAAATATGCTAATGAGTGTGAATATAATGTAACTGAAATGTGCTTCATGCAAAAGGTCTCTTGTAAGGTATAATTACAAAGCTTATAATCTACTAAGTGTGGTCATCCTATTTGTATGTATGTATCATTCTTGTGTCTAAAACTAGAAATATGAAGTATAACTCTGAAGTCCTATTGTAATTATGCAAAGTGTGGGCCATTAATGGTGGTTTAGAATCTTGATGGCTCCCATTAACTCGGACAGTTGGTTGTAAATGGCTCTGTTTACTTGCAAGCCTTCCTGCGTTTGTGTGATTCAGGCCAGGATGAGTGGAGGCTTGGGGTCTCACAGGACATGTGACCACGTCACCTGATACTGGAATCCATCTTAAACCTGGTGCTTTTCCATTGAGAAGGAGGGGAGGGAACCCAGAGAGAGACAAAGGATTCCCGCCTTGTGCCAAAGATATAAAAGGGGGTGGAACAGAACAAAGGGGGCTGCCAGTCATGAGAAATCCCCTAGTTACCATCTGAGCTGGAGCTAACAAGGACTGCACCGGGCAAAGGATTGGGCCCAGGCTAGGAAGGAGTCTAGTCTGTGAAACAAGCTTATTGGAACATCTCTAAGGGTGAGATTTACCTGTATTCAGTTTCTTAATGTATTGAGCTTAGACTTGCATGTTTTGTTTTATTTTGCTTGGTAACTTACTTTGCTTTGTCTGTTATTACTTGGAACCACTTAAATCCCACTTTTTATACTTAATAAAATCACTTTTGTTTATTAATTAACCCAGAGTAAGTGATTAATACATGGGGGAGTAGACAGCTGTGCATATCCCTCTATCAGTGTTATAGAGGGCAGACAATTTATGAGTTTACCCTATATAAACTTTATACAGAGTAAAACGGATTTATTTGGAGTTTGGATCCCATTGGGAGCTGGGTGTCTGGATGCTGGAGACAGGAGTACTTGCTGAGCTGTTTTCACTTTAGTCTGCAGCTTTGAGGGTGTGGTTCAGACCCTGGGTCTATATTGCAGCAGGCTAGCGTGTCTGGATCAACAAAGCAGGGTTCTGGAGTCCCAAGCTGGCAAAGAAAACTGGCTCAGAGGTAGTTTCAGCACATCAGGTGACAGTCCCCAGGGGGTCTCTGTGACCGAGCCCGTCACAACTTATTTGTTTTGGTTTTCAGCAAGAAGGTTGGTGGCGATTGGATGTCTAACATAGTGAATGTCAGTGAAAATGAGGTAGGATCAGAGTCTAAAATAGGAAAAGAACAAGTCAAAAATTTCTTAGACAAGTTAGATGTCTTCAAATCACCGAGGCCTGATGAAATGCATCCTAGAATACTCAAGGAACTGACTGAGGAGATTTCTGAGCCATTAGCAAATATCTTTGAAAAGTTATGGAAGACAGGAGACATTCTGGAAGACTGGGAAAGGGCAAATATAGTGTCCATCTATAAAAAGGGAAATAAGGACAACCTGGGGAATTACAGACCAGTCATTTTAACTTCTGTACCCGGAAAGATAATGGAGCAAATAATTAAGCAATCAATTTTCAAACACCTAGAGGATAATAAGGTGATAAATAACTGTCAGTATGGATTTGTCAAGAACAATTCATGTCAACCAACTTGATAGCTTTCTTTGACAGGGTAACAAGCCTTGTGGATAGGAGCGGAAGCGGTAGATGTGGTATGTCTTGACTTTAGTAAGGCTTTTGATCCTGTCTCGCATGACCTTCTCAGAAACAAACTACGGAAGTACAACCTAGATGGAGCTACTATAAAGTGGGGGCATAACTGGTTGGAAAATCGTTTCCAGAGAGTAGTTATCAGTGGTTCACAGTCATGCTGGAAGGGCATAACGAGTGGGGTCCCGCAGGGATCGGTTCTGGGTCCGGTTCTGTTCAATATCTTCATCAGGATTTAGATAATGGCATAGAGAGTACACTTATAAAGTTTGCAGACAATACCAAGCTGGGAGGGGTTGCAAGTGCTTTGGAGGACAGGATTACAATTCAAAATGATCTGGACAAACTGCAGAAATAGTCTGAAGTAAATAGGATGAAATTCAATAAGGACAAATGCAAAATACACCACTTAGGAAGGAACAATCGGTTGCACACATACAAAATGGGAAATGACTGTCTAAGAAGGAGTACTGCGGAAAGGGATCTGGGGGGGGTCATAGTGGATCACAGGCTAAATATGAGTCAACAGTGTAACGCTGTTGCAAAAAAAAGCAAACATCATTCTGGGATGTATTAGCAGGAGCATTGTAAGCAAGACACGAGAAGTAATTCTTTCGCTCTACTCCGCATTGATTTGGTCACAGCTGGAGTATTGAGTCCAGTTCTGGGCACCACATTTCAGGAAAGATGTGGACAAATTGAGAAAGTCCAGAGATGAGCAACAAAAATGATTAAAGGTCTAGAAAACATGACCTATGAGGGAAGATTGAAAAAGCTGGGTTAGTTTAGTCTGGAGAAGAGAAGATTGAGAGGGGACATGATAACAGTTTTCAAGTACATAAAAGGTTGTTACAAGGAGGAGGGGAAAAAATTGTTCTTAACCTCTGAGGATAGGACAATGGGCTTAAATTGCAGCAAGGGCGGTTTAGGTTAGATACTAGGAAAAACTTCCTAACTGTCAGGGTGGTGAAGCACTGGAATAAATTGCCTAGGGAGGTTGTGGAATCTCCATCATTGGGGATTTTAAAGAGCAGATTGGACAAACACCTGTCAGGGATGGTCTAGATAATACTTAGTCCTGCCTTGAGTGCAGGGGACTGGACTAGATGATCTCTTGAGGTCCCTTCCAGTTCTATGATTCTACATGTAGTGAGAGAGTCCCTGTCCTGAAAATCTTATAATCTAAATAAAGTGTGGGAAAAAAGATATAGATAGGGAACTAAGCCCTGGTCTACACTACGAGTTTAGGTCGGATTTAGCAGCGTTAGATCGGTTTAGCCCTGCACCCGTCCACACTACGAAGCCATTTTTTCCAACTTTAAGGGCTCTTAAAACCGATTTCTGTACTCCTCCCCGACGAGTGGATTAGTGTTGAAATCGACTTTGCTGGGTCCAATTTGGGGTAGTCTGGACGCAATTCAACGGTATTAGCTTCCAGGAGTTATCCCACAGTGCTCCATTGTGACCGCTCTGGACAGCACTCTCAACTCAAATGCACTGGCCAGGTAGACAGGAAAAGCCCTGCGAACTTTTGAATTTCATTTCCTGTTTGGCCAGCGTGGCAAGCTGATCAGCAGAGGTGACCATGCAGTCCCAGAATCGCAAAAGAGCTCCAGCATGGACCAAATGGGAGGTACTGGATCTGATTGCTGTATGGGGAGATGAATCCATGCTATCAGAACTCCGTTCGAAAAGACGAAATGCCAAAATATTTGAAAAAATCTCCAAGGGCATAAAGGACAGAGGCTATAACAGGGATCCGTAGCAGTGCTGCGTGAAACTTAAGGAGCTCAGGCAAGCCTACCAAAGAACCAGAGAGGCAAATGGCCGCTCCGGGTCAGAGCCCCAGACATGCCGCTTCTATGATGAGCTGCATGCCATTCTAGGGGGTGCCCCTACAACTACCCCAGCCCTGTGCATGGACTCCATCAATGGACTCTCACACAACAGGGATGCGGATTTTGGGGACGAGGAAGATGATGAGGAGGAGGAGGTTGAAGCACAGCAAGCAAGTGGAGAAACCGTTTTCCCTGACAGCCAGGAACTGTTTTTCACCCTGGATCTAGTACGCTCCCAACCCACCGAAGGCGGGCTCCCGGACCTAGAAGGCGGAGAAGGGACCTCTGGTGAGTGTACCTTTGTAAATATAATACACGGTTTAAAAGCAAGCGTGTTTAATGATTGATTTGCCCTGAAGACTTGGGGTGCATTCGCGGCCAGTACAGCTACTGGAAAAGTCTGTTAACGTGTATGGGGATGGAGCGGAAATCCTCCAGGGACATCTCAATGAAGCTCTCCTGGATGTACTCCCAAAGCCTTTGCAAAAGGTTTCTGGAGAGGGCAGCCTTATTCTGTCCTCCATGGTAGGACACTTTACCATGGCAGGCCAGCAGCACGTAGTCTGGAATCACTGCATAACAAAGCATGGCAGCGTGTGGTCCCGGTGTTTGCTGGCATTCAAGCAACATCCGTTCTTTATCTCTCTGTGTTATCCCCAGGAGAGTGATATCATTCATGGTCACCTGTTTGAAATAGGGGAATTTTATTAAGGGGACATTCAGAGGTGGCCATTCCTGCTAGGCTGTTTGCCTGTGGCTGAACAGAAATCATCCCTGCTGTTAACCACACGATGGGGGGAGGGGTGAAGCAATCATCCCAGAGAATTGGGTGTGGGTGGGGGGAGGTGGTTAGTTGGGTTTGTGCTGCACGTTAACCCGAAACCGCAGCCGATCCTTTTAAAGGGCCAACCCAATGGGTGATTGGTATTTGAAATGAGGGTGATGCTGTTTGAAACCATTCCCACATATTAGGAAGGTTAAAGAAGCCAAAAGATTGTGGCTTACTATGTGTGTATGCAAGCCGAATTCTGTTGCCCACCAGCCCTGTGTGTGTGATCTCTCACACCATACCAGCAGGCCCTCGGTATAAGAGGCAAAATGCGACCTTGTAAAGAAAGCGCACGTGCTATGTAATGTTAACAGCTTGGTTCACCGTGAAAGAGACTACCCATTGTTCTCTAAAATGTCTCTTTTTAAAGACTAATCCTTTTTTCCCTCCCGCAGCTGCAAATGTTTCAACACTCCACGTATCATCTCCGTCCCAGAGGCTATCAAAGATTAGAAGCTGAAAAAAACACACTCGCGATGAAATGTTCTCTGAGCTCATGCAGGCCTCCCACGCTGAAAGAGCCCAGCAGAATGCATGGAGGGAGACAATGTCAGAGTCCAGAAAAGCACAAAATGAACGAGAGGAGAGGAGGGACGCGCGAGAGAACAGGAGGGATGAGCGAGAGGAGAGGTGGCGGAGGCGTGATGAGAGGAGGCAGGATGCAATGCTGAGGCTACTGGAGGATCAAACTGATATGCTCTGGCATATGGTTGAGGTGCAGGAAAGGCAGCAGGAGCACAGACTGCCACTGCAGCCCCTTTGTAACCAACCGCCCTCCTCCCCAAGTTCCATAGCCTCCTCACCCAGACGCCCAAGAACGCGGTGAGGAGGCCTCTAGGCACCCAACCACTCCACCCCAGAGGACTGCCCAAGCAACAGAAAGCTGGCATTCAATAAGTTTTGAAGTGCAGTGTGGCCTTGTCCTTCCGTCCTTCCCTTCTCCACCACCCCACCTGGTGCTTCCCTCCTCCCCCATCCCTCCTGGGCTACCTTGGCAGTTATCCCCCCATTTGTGTGACGAATTAATAAAGAATGCATGAATTTGAAACAACAATGACTTCATTGTCTCTGCAAGCGGTAATCAAACGGGGGAGGGGAGGGCGGTTGGCTTACAGGGAAGTAGAGTGAACCAAGGGGGGCGGGTTTTCATCAAGGAAAAACAAACAGAACTTTCACATGTAGCCTGGCCTGTCATGAAACTGGTTTTCAAAGCTCTGATGCACAGCGCTTCCTGCTGTGCTCTTCTAATCGCCCTGGTGTCTGGCTGCGTGTAATCAGTGGCCAAGCGATTTGCCTCAACCTTTGCCTCAACCTGCCATAAACATCTCCCCCTTGCTCTCACAGATATTGTGGAGCACACAGCAAGCAGTAATAATGATGGGAATATTGGTTTCGCTGAGGTCTAACCGAGTCAGTAAACTGCGCCAGCGCGCTTTTAAACACCCAAATGCACATTCTACCACCTTTCTGCACTTGCTCAGCCTATAGTTGAACAGCTCCTGGCAACTGTCCAGGGTGCCTGTGTATGGCTTCATGAGCCATGGCATTAAGGGGTAGGCTGGGTCCCCAAGGATAACTATAGGCATTTCAACATCCCCAATGGTTATTTTCTGGTCTGGAAAGTAAGTCCCTTGCTGCAGCTGTTCATACAGACCAGAGTTCCTGAAGATGCGCGCGTCATGTACCTTTCCCGGCCATCCCACATTGATGTTGGCGAAAAGTCCCTTGTGATCCACCAGTGCTTGCAGCACCATTGAAAAGTACCCCCTTCGGTTTAGGTACCGGCTCCCTTGGTGGTCCAGTCCCAAGACAGGGATATGCATTCTGTCTGTCGCCCCACCACAGTTAGGGAATCCCATTGCAGCAAAGCCATCCACTATGACCTGCACATTTCCCAGAATCAATACCCTTGATAAAAGAAAAGGAGTATTTGTGGCACCTTAGAGACTAACAAATTTATTTGAGCATAAGCTTTCATGAACTACAGTAGGTGTTTGCATTGACTGCTTGGGTCACAGCAGCCCCCACAGTAGAATTGCCCACTCCAAATTGATTCCTGACTGACCGGTAGCTGTCTGGTGTTGCAAGCTTCAAGAGGGCTATCACCACTCGCTTGTGAACTGTGAGGTCTGCTCTCATCTTGGTATTCTTGCACTTCAGGGCAGGGGAAAGCAAGTCACAAAGTTCCATGAAAGTGCCCTTCCGCATGCGAAAGTTTTGCAGCCACTGGGAATCATCCCAGACCTGCAACACTATGCGATCCCACCAGTCTGTGTTTCACGGGCCCAGAATTGGCGTTCCATGGCATGAGCCTGCCCCAGGATGGCCAAATTGCCAGGGCCCGTGCTTTGAGAGAAATCTGTGTCCATGTCCTCATCATTCTCGTCACCGGGCTGCCATCGCCTCCTTGCCTGCTTTTGCAGGTTCTGGTTCTGCATATATTGCATGATAATGCGCGAGGTATTTACAATGCTCATAACTGCTGCGGTGATCTGAGCGGGCTCCATGCTTGCCATGGTATGGTGTCTGCAGGAGAGCAGAGTTGCAGGGGAAGCAGTGGTTGGATGACCATTTTTGCAGACCTACTGCACTGTCTGCTGCCAGGACACAACAGCTGAGTGGGCTGCATGCTTGCCGTGGTATGGCGAGACAGGAGCAGCCAAGCAGAGTTGTAGCTGAAGCGGCCCTGCAAGACCACCAGAAGAGCAGGAGAGCAGAGTGCCAGTGGAAGCAGTGGATGACGACGGTCATATAGAGGACCTGTGAGGTGGATTCATCGCATCAGGAGAGCAGAGTGGCAGCGGAAGCGGTGGATGACGATGACGGTTAGCAGTCCTACTGCTCCGTCCGCTGAAAGCAGTATGGCGCCAGCACGGAAAAAGGCGCAAAACGATTGTCTGCCGTTGCTTTCACGGAGGGAGGAGCGACTTACGACGTACCCAAAACCACCCACGACAATGTTTTTGCCCCATCAGGCGTTGGGAACTTAACCCAGAATTCCAATGGGCGGCGGAGACTGCTGGAACTGTGGGATAGCTACCCACCATGCAGCACTCCGAAAGTCGATGCTAGCCTCGGTACTGTGGACGCATTCCGCCGACTTAATGTACTTAATGCATTAGCGTGGGGACACACACAATTGACTAAAAAAGAAAAGGAGGACTTGTGGCACCTTAGAGACTAACACATTTATTTGAGCACAAGCGAGCTGTAGCTCACGAAAGCTTATGCTCAAATAAATTTGTTAGTCTCTAAGGTGCCACAAGTCCTCCTTCTCTTTTTGCGGATACAGACTAACACGGCTCCTACTCTGAAACAACACAATTGACTGTATAAAATCGTTTTCTAAAAAACCGACTTCTGTACATTCAACCTAATTTCGTAGTGTAGACATACCCTCAGTTCCAAAGAGACTAAGCCCCAGATCCATAAAGGTATTTAGGCTCCTAACTTCTATTGAAATCAATTAAAGTTAGGAGCTTAAATACTTTTGCAGATCCGGGCTAAAGTCTCCTTCCCAGGGTGTTCTTTCCTGAGACATTCTCCTCAAAAAAGAATGATTTTGCTTATTTTGACTATGTGCACCATCTGCTGGCCACAAGATAAATCTAAAAGGTACCCTGCAAGAATGTTTGAAAGCCTGCATGTAAACTCCTAGGCTGCTAAGGTGGAAGCACACGTCACACATCTCCGGAAGTATAATTTTCTCGGGACTGGACTTGCAAAGATGTCTGGGATTTGATGTCACAAGGTGTTAATCAGAGATCAGGCCGCGTCCAAGTCCTGTCACGTGTGGATTATGATGCAATCTCAACTCTTTTCACACAGACATTCATTCCCCACCTTATAGTGAAAGAGAAACTCGACTACATTCATAGGGAGCTGACAACATCTGTCTGGAATCATTTAAAAACCCACCGCTACTTGTTATATTGTATCTAGTGCTGTTTATTCCTAGATAGCAAAGTTCTTTACAAAACCGGCTGGGTTATTATCTCCATTTTATAGGTGGGCAAACTGAGTGTGGAGAGAAGTTAGAATGACACCAAGTTCACACAGCTTGTCAGTTGCAGAGCAGGAATAGAGCCTAGGTCTAGCCAGTGGGACATGTTGCCCCTTGGATGTCCTGGTAGAGAGTAGGTTTATGGTGTTACTATACTTTGTTCAGAACCCAAAGTAGTTCATACTCATGAAACAGAATCTCGGATGGGTGCGTTAGCAGTGCTGATGGATTAGATATAAAGATGTTCTGTACAATACCAGTACAGCCTCTGTGGAGGCAGTTATTCTGGTCTGGAAGTGCAGTATAGCTTATTCCTCTTCGTCTACAGGAACGGCTACAGTAGTATAAGCACATTTATAACAATATAACTGCATCCGCACACGGGGAGGTGTACTGCTTTAACTATATGATATAGTGAAGTGGTACAATTTTTGTGAGTAGACAAGTCTTAGAACAGACGTGGGCAAACTACGGCCCACGGAGGCCCGCCCTTGAGCCCCCGGCCAGGGAGGCTAGCCTCCGGCCCCTCCCCACTGTCCCCCCTCCCCCACAGCTATGCCGCCATGCGGGCAGTGCTCTGGGCCGTGGGGCCACGAGCTCCTGCAGGGCAGCACGGTAGCGTGTCTGGCTCCGGCCGAGCGGCACGGCTGCCAGACATGCGGCTCTGAGCGGCATGGTGGGGGAGGTTGGATAAGGGGCAGGAGGTCCCGGGGGGGCAGTCAGGGGACAGAGAGCAGAGGGCGGTTGGATGGGGTGGAGGTTCTGGGGGTGGGGGGCGGTCAGGGGACAAGGAACAGGGCGGGGGTTGGATAAGCGTGGGAGTCTCATCGGGCGCGGGTGTGGATGGGGGCGGGGCAGTCAAGGGATGGGGGGGTTGGATAGGGGGTGGGGTCCCAGGGGAGCAGTTAGGGTCGGGGGGTCTCGGGAGGAAGTGGTCAGGGGACAGGGGGGCGGCTGGAAAGGGGGTGGGATCCTGGGGAGCAGGGGTGTGGATAGGGGTTGGGGCAGTCAGGGGACAGGGAGCAGGGGGGTTGGATATGGGCTCGGGTCCCGGGGGAACGGTTAGGGTCGGGGGAGTCTCGGGAGGAGATGGTCAGGGGACAAGGAGCAGGGGGAGATTGGATGGGTCAGGGGTTCTGAGGGGGGGCAGACAGGGGGGCGGGAAGTGGGAGGGGTTGGATGGGGGGCGGGGGCCAGGCTGTTTGGGGAGGCACAGCCTTCCCTACCTGGCCCTCCATACAGTTTTGCAACCCCGATGTGGCCCTCAGGCCAAAAAGTTTGCCCACCCGTGTCTTAGAAGGACAGAGGCCTGGTCTGCATTTAGAAATTTTGCCAGCAATAGTTATTTTGGTTAAGAGTGTGAAAAAATCACACTGCTAACTGACATAGCTAAGCCAGCTAAAGTCCCAGTGTAGGCAAAAAAGTCTGTTTGCTGGAATACTTTATTACATTTAGGGAACTGGTATAAGCAAAAAGAAAAGGAGTACTTGTGGCATCTTAGAGACTAACCAATTTATTTGGGCATAAGCTTTCGTGAGCTACAGCTCACTTCATCGAATGCTCACGAAAGCTTACGCTCAAATAAATTGGTTAGTCTCTAAGGTGCCACAAGTCCTCCTTTTCTTTTTGCGAATACAGACTAACACGGCTGCTACTCTCAAACCTGGTATAAGCAAAGGAACTCTTTTGCTCTTATAAGCTGCGTCTCCACTAGGAGAGTTTGTCGGAATAGTTATACTGGGGCATAGCTATATTGGCAAACCCTTCCTAGGGTAGACAAGACCAGATTCAGATTTCAGTGACACTGATGCAAATCCCAATGCACTGGAGTCATCAGGTTTACAGCTAAATTAGAATGTGGACCAGGATCTTTACTGAGCCTTGTGAGATTGTTTCACAAAAGATGATATACAATGCTGAAAATCTCCTAAAAACTTCCACACACACCCCTTCTCCTCCTGGATTAGCAGTGCAGTTAGGGATTTGGAATGAACACAGGAGCTACTTGGATTCTTTCCTCCAAGGCCCCAGGCACTGCAGTGACAATGTCA